GGGATGGGAGGGAGGGGTAGGATGTCAGATATGACGCGAGCACACCTAGCTTGTCCTCCTCCCCCTCCCCCTCCTCCTCCTCATCCTCCTCCTCCTCCTCCTCCTCCTCCTCCTCCTCATCCTCCTCCTCCTCCTCCTCCTCCTCCTCCCTCCCTCGCCTCCGCATCCGCCTCCCCGCCTCCGCCGCCTCCTCCTCCTCCTCTCCTCCTCCTCCCCCTCCTCCTCCTCCCCTCTCCTCCTACTCCTCCTCCTCCATCCCCTCCGCAATCCTCGTCCCTCCTCCTCCTGCCTCCTCGCTCCGTCCGCCGCCGCCGCCGCCGCCTCCTCCTCCCTCCTCCGCCTCCTCCTCCTCCTCCTCTCCTCCGCCTCCTCCGCCTCCTCCTCCGCCTCCTTCCTCCTGCATCCTCACCTCCTCCGCCTCCTCCGCCTCCTCCTCCTCCTCCTCCTTCCGGCCTCCTCCTCCTCACTCCTCCTCCTCCTCCTCCTCCTCACTCCCTCCGCCTCCTCTTCCTGTCCTCCTCTTCCTCCCCCTCTCCCTTCCTCCCTCCTCCCTCCTCCCCTCCTCCCTCCGCCCTCCGCCTCCTCCCTCCTCTCTCATATCCGCTCCTCCTCCCTCCTCCTCCTCAAACGCCTATACCCCGTCCTCCCTCCTTCCTCTCCCTCCTCCCTCCACCTCCCTCTCCCTCATCCCGTCCTCCCATCCTCCCTCCTCCCTCCTCCCTCCTCCCTCCTCCCATCCTCCCTCCTCCCTCCTGCCCCTTCCTCCCTCCTCCCTCCTCCCTCTCCCTCCTCCCGTTCCCCTCCTACCGTCCTTCCTCCCTCCGCCCCTCCTTCCCTCCTCCTCCCTTCCCCTCCTCCTCCTCCTCCTCCTCCCTCCGCCTCCTCCTCCTCCTGCCTCCTCCTCCTCCCACTCCTCCTCCGCCCCACGGCCTCCTCCTTCCTCCTCCTCACTTCTGCTCCTCCTCCTCATCCTCCTCTCCTCATCCTCCTCCTCCTCGTCCTGCTGCTCCTCCGCCCTCCTCCTCCTCCTCCTCCTACTCCTCCTCCTCCGCCTCATCCTCCTCCTCCTCATCCTCCTCCTCCTCCTGCTGCTCTTCAGCATACTCCTCATCGTGATCGTCGTATTCTCTGTGAGTGGTAGTAGTAGTCTTCATACTCTTCGTCTTCGTCATCGAAAACATCGTCATCATCATAACCACCATTCCATTACACTCCATTCCGCTGGGCCTCCCACGAGCCCACGAAACCAGCGACGATTGCGCCCTTCGCAGCCCCCGCAAGGGACCCGCGAGGTCTCGGCTGGACATGTTTACAACTCCACTCCGCTGAGCCTCCTAGGAGCCCACGTCCATGGCGATAGTTGCAAGCTTCGCAGCCCCTGCAAGGGACCCGCGAGGTCTCGGCTGGTCCGTTTACCACTCCACTCCGCCGAGCCTCCGAGGAGCCCACGACAATGACTACACTTGCGCACTTCGCAACCCCCGCAAGGGACCCCGCGAGATGTCGGCTGGGTCTGTTTACCACTCCACTCCGCTAGGCCTCCCATGAGCCAACGAAAATTGCGACAAATGCACACTTCGCAGCCACCGCAAGGGAGCCACGAGGTCTCGGCTGGTCTGTTTACCTCTCCACTCCGCTGAGCCCCCGAGCCCGCGAACATGACTACACTTACGCACTTCGCAGCCCACGCAAGGGACCCCGCGAGATGTCGGCTGGGTCTGTTTACCACTCCACTCCGCTGAGCCTCGCAGGAGCCCACGAAAATTGCGACAAGTGCACACTTCGCAGCCACCTCAAGGGAGCCACGAGGTGTCTCGGCTGGATCTGTTTACCATTCCACTCCGCTGAACCTCCCAGGAGCCCACGAAAGTGGCGACAATTGAAAGCTTTGCAGCCCCTACAAGGGACCCGCGAGGTCTCGGCTGGATATGTTTACAGCTCCACTCCGCCGAGCTTCCAAGAAGCCCACGAAAATGGCGACAAGTGCGCACTTCGCAGCCCACGCAAAGGAGCCGCGAGGTCTCGGCTGGGTCTGTTTAACACACCACTCCGCTAGGCCTCCCACGAAACTGGCGGCAGCTTCACATTTCACAGGCGGGGGCGTTGGCTCAGGGGGGAAGTCATCGACCTGGGATCGGGGATACATCCCCGATACATCGGCGATAGGCCCCGATGGCGAACCCGCATGTTTCTGCACAGGGCAGGCTGTCGGGCCCCTATCGGCGATGAAAGGGCGACACGAAATTTTGCATAGCGCGTCGCTGCGGCGGCCCCGGCGACACGCCATGCCCTCCAAGCGGGCAGCGGGTAGCGTGTCGCTCCGCTCCTCGGGGCGGGAGGCTCGGGAAAGCTTGGGACGTTGTCGCCTGGACTCGAGGACGCGGATAGCGTGTGACGCCAACGCGTGGTGGACCAGGACCGGCGAAGCGACACGCTATCCAACAAATTCCGACCGTATCCCCCCTGACGTTGCCGCTGGTGTCATCGTCCGATGGCGCGCGCGGGGGGACAGCCTCGTCCATCCGCTGCCCGATGAAGACTAGCTCCTGTGTTCCGTCGGCACGGGCGGCCACAGCGCGCCCTCTCGAGGACTCGACAAGCCCGCGAGTCGCGGGGCAAAAGCGAAAGTGAACCTCGTCTCCCCTCTCTCCTTCCCACCTCATCCTTCTCCTTCTCCTCATCATCCTCCTTCTCCTGCTGAATCCGCGACCAAGGCACTAGTCCCCCTTGAGGACCAGTGGCCACCTGGATCAGGCGTATCGGCCGGCAGTCCCGCACAGTCTACTGGCTACTGGGGGTGTGCCCATCCAGGTGATTTTTCTTAGCACCCATGTTGAGGGCGACATCCCATCTGGGTGCCGGCGACAGGGCACACTTCCCTGAAAAACAAAAACCTCGAAGAGATGAGGAAGGAGAGAGGAGGGAGCAGGACGGGACCGGAAGGCGGTGGCAGCAGACGCGCGGCCGGGGAATCTGAGCCACCTAGCCCCCCGTTAGGACCGTTAGGAGCTCGCGCGCCTGCCGGAGGCAAGGAGCGGGAATGAGCAAAGCGCGAAGGTGGGAAAGGGGGAAAGGACCGAGGGGCAGGAGAGGAATGAGAGGAGGGGATGGACTATGATGCGAATGTTTTTGACCGCAGTCGCCATAAACTTCGATGTCTGCCCCTCTCGGCCGAGGGTGGGGTCACTCCAGGGCACTCGACCCACCGGGCTACGAATGTCACGGAGTCGGTGCGCCTGTGTGACCCCAAATGTCCGTCGATTTAATCCCAATTTCTCGGGAGTCCCCGAAACGGACAACCGGGGAACCGACCCGGGAAACGGACAACCGGGGAACCGACCCGGGAAACGGACAACCGGGGAACCGACCAAGGAAACGGACAATTGGGGAACCGACATGTTCTCAGTCGTTACCATTCGTCCCCCCTGGGCTTTTCGTTTGGCGCCACGGTCCGAGGCCCAGGATCCCGGCTCGAATCAAACACCTGGGGTCCACCCTCCGCGAATCCAAACCCACCCGCGTCCACGCCTTCCGCGCCAGCCCCACTCCGCACTCCGGCTCATTCTGGGCCGATTAACCAAGCCAGACCCAGGCCTGGCGGCCCCGTCGAGGAATCTCCTCCCCTCCCCGTCGTCCTCGTCCTCGACCTCGCCGTTGTCGTCGACGTCGTCCTCGTCGCTGCCACCGACTTCGTCTCTCCTCGTCGTGGACCTCGCCGCAGACGTCCTCGCCTTGGTGGTCGTCGCCGCTGCCGCCGCGGGCGTCGCGGCGACGACGGCGGCGACGATGACGAGGCCAAGAGAAGGGGGGCCGCAAAGGCGGCGGCGGGGGCACTCCTGCCGCCGGTCGGCCCATTCCTCGCTCCAGCCCTCGCTCTGCAAGCGCTCGAAGTCCTGCCGGGGTGGCGCAGAAAAGCCAATCGCCCTCCCACCCTTCCCGTCGGATCGGCCAGGACGGGTTACCGTGATGCGGCCTCCTGGGGCCTCGTGGGGTCTCGCGGGGCCACATACAGCCGCTTGGGGCGAGGGGAGGAGCTCCCAGCACGGGGGTAAGGGTCGAATCCCCTGAAACCGCCAGGGATTCAACTCTTCAGCTTATGTTTGACCTCACTTTTTGGCGGCAGGCGATGATAAGTTCATATCGAAACCGACGTGTCTCACAAATTTGGAACCAACATGTCTTACTAATCCCAGACAAAGCGAGCTAAACAAAGCAAGTGAACAAAAAGGGTTCACAGCTTTGTACATCACATCACCGGTGCAAGCAAGCGAGATCATAGCATTGTGGGGAGGAAACTTTGAAGACCCACGGTTTCGTCTACGATTTGTTTGCCCGTGCACCGATGTCACGGAACCGTGGAATTCCAGACCAGACTTGTGCCAAGAGACGCTTTCTGACGCAGCTATGTGTTCCAGGATGTACGGGTGCACTAGTGGTCTACTTGGGCCCTCTCTGGGATCCCGAGAGTCCTGTTGGGCGGGCTCTCGCGAGCCCCGAGAGGGCTCTCGCGAGCCCCGGGAGGCCTCTCGCGAGCCCCCTGAGGGCACTAGGGAATCCGCAGAGGCCTCTCGGGAGCCCTAAGACTGCCACGGATTCTCTGTTTCACGCCTCCTGGGACCCCCTGAGGCGCCCTGAGGTCTTTGAGGTCCTCGTGTGGCCTCTGGGTCGCCCCGACCCCTCCTGGGGACTGCAAAGGCCTCCCCCGCTCCCTCCAACTCGTGCAGAATGCAACAGAAGCGGTACGGTGCACACTTGTTGCATTGAGTTCCTTTGTGATGTTCCGCATCATGCTGCATGGGTGCAATTCCTTTGCCGTTGAAGGTGTCTTGCATTGTATCTTGCTGCTCGAAGTTACAAGCGGAGTCCTTACCAGGTCAGAAGTCCTTGCTCCAATCGGCGGACTGACCCAGAACTGACTAGACAGAGATCAGAGCTCAGGACAGCCAACTATCAAGCGTTCATCATGGACCTGGGGAATGCAACGGGGCAGGATTTTTTTTGGTGGGCACGTGCAGCGGCGGCGCCGCTCCCCGACTTCGCCCGAGAGCTCGCCCTCTCCGCGCTGGCCCTCCCGGGCGCCACCTGCGCGCCCTCGAGGAGGCGGCGCTGACCACAGCCAGAGAAGAGCACACCACCCGCCCATCGCGGCCCGATGTAAGCACGGCCGTGGCCTCGCCGCCTCTCGCGGCCCTTGCCGCTCAAGCGCCCGCAGGGCGGCCCCCTGGCCGAAACCCGCAGTCTCGAGCGGCGCGCCCGCCGCCGCCCATGCCGCTCGCGCCGCGGCACGCCACTTCTGGCCGCCGCGGCGCGGGCTGGGTCTCGAGCAGTCGTCGCCCCCGGGCCGCCAGAGCCAGCCAGCCCAGCTACCTGGCGGCGCACCCGCCCCGGGAACGGGATCTCGAGGTGGCCTGCCTCTTGGACCTCGTGGACCTCTGTGCATCCTTCGCGCCCTCGTCGGGATTCCACAGGGCAGTCGCCTCGGTCGGCTCCGAATGCTCGGTGTCGCAGCTGGCCGCCTTCAGCTCCTGGTCGTCACACGCAGCGCGGTCCCGCGTCAGCGAAGGCCAGTGCCAGAGTATCAAGGTGCAGACCATCGCCACCAGCACCAGCGCCGACAAAATCAGCAAAATAATTGTCCAGCTCTGCCTTCCCCCCTCTCCCTGGAGATTGTGAAATATAACTCCTGCGACCAATTGGAAGACTGTGCTTGAGATCAGACCGACCACATCCAGGAGTGCACTTGCGGTCGCGCAATCCTCGCCGAATGTCAATGGATACATGTTGAGGGTAACATAATACGTAAGACCACCACCAAAGGAGAGCAAGAAGAGGCACACCACAATCACTATCGGCATGCTGACATTCACTGCCAAAATTCCTGGCGCCATCCCAGCATGCCAGACGGCCGCAAGAGCCATCAGCGCCCCCATCAGGCCCAGGGCCTGAAGAGACAGCTCGAAGGCGAACTTCCAGCGGCGCAGCCCCATGTTTGCATACACGGGCGCGGCCACCAAGAGGGCCGCTCCCAGCCCGGCAGGAAACGCGGCCGAGGCCATGCTGACGCCCGCGGCGTCGAGCTCGGTCGTGTCCTGCAACAACAGCGGCGCCAGCGAGTCCATTGACCCACACTGGGAGTACAGGCATACTGCCGCCAAGCTCGTGAGCGCCATGCCTGGGTCCAGCGCGATCACCGGCAGCCGGTCGAGCAGCCGGCCAGTCGGCCTCTCGGCCTGGCGCGCCCCGTTGGTGGCCCGCTCACCGTCCCTGTGCTCCCCGCTGGACGGCAAAAGCCACGCGGCGGCCACCGAGCCTGCGGCCATCGCAGCGGCGGTGAGCAGCGCGACCTGCCTCCAGGGCAGCGCCTTCAGGAGCAGGCCCAGGCCCAGCTTGGAGCCGACCGCGCCCAGGCGCGAGGCCACGCCGAGGAGGGAGAAGCAGCCCACCCAGCGCTCCTGGTCAAAGTTCTGCTCGATCAGCTTGCAGGCCGAGAGCCACCCGCCAGCGGCGCAGAGCTGCAGGACTATGTAGCCTACCAGCGGCCCCAGCCGGCTGGGGACGGCGCCAAAGGCCGCTGCACCCAGCGCCATGAGCGGCATGGACACGAGCAGAAAGCGCCTGGCCCCGAACCTGTCGATGAGCGGGCCGCCGGCGAGCTTCCCGGCCGCGTTCAGGGCCGTGCCGAACGAACCGAGCACGCCGGCGAGCGCCGCGGAGAGGCCGAGCTCCCCGTCCTCGCGCATGGCCGCCAGACAGGCCCCAGGCATGGCGAGCACGAACTGCTCGCTCATCAGAGGCAGGCAGATCATCGCGTAGGCGAGGAGCCATGCCTGTCCCTTCGCGAAATCCATGGCTCGTAGGAGGCCGCGCGCTGCCGCGGCGATCGCTTCGAGACGAAAACACGGCTTGAGCCAAAATGGCTACGGATGCAACGGGGCAGGAGTGATAGTGATCAAGAGAGAAAAAACGGCGAGGGTTCCTTCTGCTTTACCCAATGGAGACCTGCTCCTCGTACGTGTCATGGGATGCTCGGCCCTGGCGGAAAGTGGACGACGCCCAGGGCGGACTATCAGTCGCCGACCGCGCGGTCCTTCGGCCTTTGGCAACTCCTCCGCGCCACGATGTTGAAGATATACGATCTTCAACCTCCTTTCAACGGCGATTGCCGCGAGAAGACACGAGGACGGTCCCAAACTGCGGCAACTGTCGTTGTAAGATTTGCACCTTCTGGCATGCAGTCTGAGATCCCAGCAGCAGGTATTTGTCATTCACCCTCAGCTGCCGCATCAAGGATGAGTCGACGAAGTGCATCAGTTCAGTGGAGGCTAATAAAAAAAGGCCAGGTTAATCATGATCATGTTTGGTCACCCCCAGCTGGCCACTCAAAATGGCCGGGCGAACAAGTGGTACTCGGAGCCGAAGCGAAGCACCAACAACATACGGCTGGGTGCTGCGTTCAGGGACGGCGCGCGCAGTAGGCTACCGCTCCAGGCTGTCGCAAGTCTAGCCGCCGGGACCTGAGAATGGGTGGCAAGTGAGAGGGAGGCCAGGCAGAGACAACGCCCAGCATGTTTAGGTTGTTCGAGGATGCTGGCCACAGGTCCTCTTCCACGAGGCTCAGCGCTGGAAGAGGCCCGCCGCAGAGGCCTCAGCAAGCCGGCCTGCGGGTCCAGCGCAGATGCAAGAGGTCCGCGCGGAGCTTCCAAAGTCCGTGAACATGGGGTCTTTCTTGATCGAGGATCTGCACATGATGACGAGTGCGAGACAGCCACGCGAGGCAGCGCAGGCTCCAGTTCGAACAAACGAACAGCGGCGATGCCCGTGCCCGCACAACGGCGGCACCGGCGCTTGCAGACAAACATCCAGCCGCATTCTCAGCGGCGGGTGGCAGGACCAGGGTAGTACTGCTGACCGAGCTCCTCCGCTCCTCTCACCACCACCGGCCTCTCCTCCTCCACCTCCTCCCCCCTTTTTACACCATTCGGCTTCACGACCTGAAGCGTCTTACTTCACACACCCACCGCCACGTGTCTTTTGTTCCAGGGAGCGCCCTTGTTCAGGTTGAATCATATATGACTTGATGGATGTACATAACAGATCAACTGCCTTGACCACTCATCGTGGCTCCATGTCCGCAGATTATCTGGCGTCCAAGATGACTTTGGCGTTCGATTCTTTCCGCCCAGAGCAGATGAGTGCAAGTAGGCTACGAAAAAAAGATATCAGCATCCGAACTGCGAAATCCCCACAAGAGCGGGCGCCAGCGTAGCCACCACCGTCAGCTCATCGATCCAATCGTGCTCTGCGACTTCGGGGCCACTCAGATCAGTCAGCCGTCAGACTGGGCAATTCCACCGCCACCGCTCATGGCCACCGCAACTTGGACCACAGCTCCGCCGCCGCCGCCCGCGGGCGGCCACCGCCATGAACTACCGTCTTGTAAGTTCCACCCTTTTCGTGTCACGGGGAAAACAGAGTACCAACAGATTGTGCTGGTCGGGGTTATCCCATCGTGACCATGTCTACCAAAATTGGCCGCTCCGTTGACAGTGCACATGTCGAACTAACTCTCCGCGTTGAGACTCTCCACTGAGATCACCCCGACATGTTACACGGATACCTAAATTGCGCACGATTGATCATTCGAATGCTTGCTTGGATAGTTCGGGCTCTTCACACAGTCCCCAGCTAGCGTGCAATCGACAGTAACTGAAAAAAGCCACGTGTAATCCCAGGGTGGCGTCGGCGGAGCCGGGGTATGAGCTGACGTTGGAGTCGGCGTAGGCGTCAGCGTCGGCGGAGCTGGCATAGGCCGTATTGTCGGGGCCTGAATGGCCCCCATCACGTCGTAGACCCAGTCGCGCACAACATCGACTCGACTCCAGACTCCAGGGTACCTTGTCACTGCGCACCCGTAAACCCACGATGAAGATCCGTGAGGGGGGTCACTGCCAGAAGCATAGACGAGCGGCAAGCGTCGGTGGTTTCGCCGTTGCCGTTCGTGCCCTGTGCACACAACATGTCATCGGTGATCGCACAGCCGAAGTTGCTGTATGACGCAGCGCAATCCACCGCATTGCTGTCGATGCTGACCTGCACCTCCTGCATCCTGTTAGAAGATTACCCTCCGGAGGAGACGGTACCCCAGCTGGTGACGAAGCACTCCTCACCGACGGCGACGTCCTCTGTTGGCAAGCATGCTACCCCAATGCATTCATCCACGGGCGCGTCACTATCCAGCTCCACCAGGGCAACATCGTGCGATGTTTCGCTTGCCTATGTTGAGGTCATGCGAATAAACTTGTTTCACTGTCAGCGACACCTCTGTCGCATCCGTCGGTTGGTGTCTGTATAGCTGCCCGCCTCGACGGCGAGAAAATTCCCCATGCAGTGGGCAGCTGTCAGGACCCAGCTCGGGGCGACGAGTGTTCCACCGCAGAAGTGCCCCCCAGCTCGGGCGCGAGAGGGAGGCCTGCCACTTCCACTCGCAGGCATCGGCGTCTTGCCGTACTGCATCGCGTTGATTTGCGCCGCATTGCATATATTTGCTTCACGCCACACGTTACCAAAAAAGAGTCTTCGCAGCTAGGGTTCTGATTGGGATGACTGCAACAACGGCATGGGTATGCCAAGGTTTCGAGTGGTGCCCGGTTACTGCGCGCCCGTGGGCGCCTCGTGGGCGCCCGACGCTCGGGGGGTATGCCGAGGATTCGCCTGGTGCCCGCCAGTCCCTCGTGGGCGCCCCGTGCTCAGGGGATATGCCGAAGTTTCCTCTGGTGCCCGCCCGCAGGGATGTCGTGGGCGCCCCGCGACGGGGCTGCATGCCAAGGGTTCGCCTGGTGCCCGCACGTGGGCTCCCCGTGTGCTGGGGGATATGCCCGAATTTCGCCGGGCGCCCGCCCGCGGGCGCCTCGCAGCCTCGCAGGCGCCCCGTGCGCTGGGGGGGGGGATGCCCAGGTTTCGTCTGATGTTCGCCCGTGGCCGCCCGCGGGCGCCTCATAGGCGCCCCATGCGCTATGGGGGGATGCCCAGGTTTCGCCTGGTGCCAACCCGTGGCCGCCCCGCGAGTGCCGCGTGCGCCTCGTGCACCCACGTACATTGCACCAAGCCGTTGGCAGCGCATAGCGTGTTCCACGTCGCGTGCACCGTGTAGCATGCGCACATTAGCTTACACAGCATTGCGCGCACCACATAGCTGGTACCACAAACGGTTGCACCATTTACCTTGCATTACGTTTTCACCACACCGCCTGCACCACGTGAGCTGCCGTATATAGTTTGCGCTATATAGTTTGCACCGTACAGCTTGCCCCATGTTGGCTGCACGAAACCATTTGCACCACATAGCTTGCACCACACATCTTGTAGCACTGCACTTGCACCTCATAGTTTGCGCCACGTGAGCTGCACCACGTAGTTACCAGCACCTAGCTTGCCCCACATATTTTGGAGCCCATAGCTTGCACCGCCGAGCTCCCCCCCCCAAGGGTGATCCCCCGCCTGGGACACTGCAAATCCCACGAACCCCTTGGGCACGGGTGATCTAACGATGTCTCTTGTCCCTCTTCCGAAAACCCCTCTTCCCTTCGGGGAGGGGTACCCTCCCCCTCCCCCTCTCCTCCCAAAGGTTTTCTTGAGGGTCGTGAGGTGTCAGGAAGGTCCTTTGCCGCCCAAGATCGTTCCAAGAGGGCCCCCGATGATGCAAGATGGCCTCCAAGATGCCTCAAGATAGCGCAATATCGCTCAGGATGACCTCCATCATCTTGCCCCCAAGAGGCTTCAAGAGGGCCACCAGAACAGTTCCAGGTGCTTGTGGAGACCCTTCAGGACCTCCTCGAGAAACCCAAATCCGTCAAATAACTACGGGAAATCATTGTTGTGTTGACTTCTCGCCTTTTCGCTTCCGATGCGCTTTTGAGGCCTCAAAATGGTCCCAAGATGGCCCAAGAGCTCCAAGAGGGTCCAAGGAAGCCCCCAGGACGGCCCCAACACAATATCGCCCTAAGAAAGGCCCAGGAGCGCCCCAAGAGGTTGTTTCTAGGCCTCTTCAGGGGGGGGGGGGCTCGATATCAAAGACCCAATTGTTTTATCGATGGCCTCCAGTATGGCCCCGGGAGGCCATCCGAAACTCACAGGAAAACTCCGAGAGAGACCCAAGAGAGCCCCAAGAGGACTCCAAGACTCCCCCCCAAACAAAGACCCGAGAGGACCCCAAGACCCTCTAAAAGAGCTTCAACGAGGTTCCAAGATGATACTTCTGAAGATTCCCCGAGGGGGGGGGGGGGGGGGGGGGGCGAAATCTTAGACCCCAATCCATGCTCTCCCGAACTGCCCCAAAACGCTCTCCGGGGCCCGAAAGTTGATCACCGGAGGGCTTCCAAACGCAAGACCCGACACAAGAACCCCAAGGCGACCACAAGACCTTCGAAACAAATCCTAAAAGGCCCCCAGAGGAACCCGAAGGAACACCAATACCAGCAGCGCCAGCAGCAACACCAACAGCAGCAGCGCCAGCAACAGCACCACCAGCAACAGCCGCACCGCCGCCGGCATCAGCGCCAGCACCAGCAGCAGCACCACCGCAAACGACAACACCAACAGCAGGAGCACGAGCAGCACCGTCAGCGCCAGCAGCGCCAGCAGCGCCAGCAGCGCCAGCACGAGCAGCTCTAGCAGCAGCACAGCAGCAAAGGCACCGCCAGCAGCGCTGGCACCAGCACCCGCAGCAGCACGTGCACCACCAAGCCTCTTCCTCATTTTCATCAAGTTTATCCATGTTTTCGTCCTCCTATTCGCCCTCGTCCCTCTCGCTCTCTTCCTCCTCGTCCTTCGGCTTGTTCCCCTCGTCCCAATCCTCGCCCACATCCTCGTCGTCCTTCTCCTCTTCGTCCACGCCCCGCCCCCTCCTTCGGCATCGTCATCATCGTGCAAATCGGATTCGTCCGGGTAGTCCTTTCGCCTCCACGTCCTCATCCCATCCCTGGTCGTCATAGCATCCTTGCCCTCGTTCGCGCCCTCATCACGCCCCTCGTCTTCAACCTCCTTTGCGACGCCCGTCAAGCGGACCCCACAAATGGAACAGAGAGGGAATCCAAGGCCCCCGCCCTCACCTTCCCGCGCGCGTTCATACTGCCTTATTTTTCCCACAGTTCACGCGGGCAGCGTCTCCGGGTGGGCGCCAAGACGATGCCGAGATGGCAGAACACCTCGCCCCCCCCATCGCCGTCGCCCTCGTCGTCGCCGTCGCCGTCGCCCGCTCCACGTCCGCCCTCGCCATTCGTTCGCCAATTTTCGCCGTCATCATCGCCCTCGTTCTCCTCGCCCTGGCCTCCGATCTGCCCGGGGCCACCCCCGGGGGGGAAG